CATCTCCTTCGTCCTGACGCTGTTTTGTTTTTGGGAGTAGGATTGGGTGTACATACGTACTTGAGAATGTAGAACATACAAACCGAGGTGCCTGCTGCGGGGCTATTGGCCCATACGTGGCAGCTCTTGTTCTCACCACCCGATTTCTTCCTCGGATCACAGGTGACTGCAGGAAGCCTCTTGGCCCATACAAAGCGGCTCCTGACTGTACTCGTCCTGCCCCCCTCTTATGCGTGTCCAACCATGCTTGAGTTCGGTGCCCCGCCTCAACCTTGTTCCACGGTGCAACAGTGGAGGTGCCTGTTCAGTGGTACGTTTTCCTGTGTCGAGGGTGTTATGTGCTCGCCTCCTTGTGCTTGCCTAATTGTGCTGCGGGGTTGGGCTCTGGCTCTTTGGTTCTGCCTCTCACCTGTCATTTGACTGACGTGCGGATTTCTGAGCCTCCTGGGCTCTCTCGTCTCTACACTTGGAACTGTGTGTGGGGTCAGCCCAAACATGGTGAATGATAGGAAATATATGCAAGAGAATACTCAGGTGGATGTACCAAAATAAGAAATGTCAGTGACAGGATGACGTGGCAACGGTAAACTATCCAGTTAAACTTGATAATCAAGGTTACAATCAAGATCAAAAATGAAACTAAGCATTTCAAGAAAGTAGGGAATCTTGTACCCGGTACTCTATATGACGAGGATAAGGGCAAGAGGGATCCTACTTGAATGTTGAGACAATTGTCTCGAAGGTAGTCCAAAAATGTAGGGATTTCTTACCTTGTCTCTAATGACAAGAGCAAAGGCAAGAGGTTTCCTACTAAAACTAGATAGTACTAACAGAATTAACAATCTTTGTGCTCTGGAAAAGAATGTTAACTCCCTACCTGTGTAAGTACCATATCTCTGACCGACGCGTAGGGGTGCGAAGTGTCAATTAATGACGAGAACTGCTTGTAGGGTCCCAACCTTACAGCATAGTCCGTGCGAGAGGAACTTTGGCCCTCTATATCCTCCTACGTTCGGGTTGCAAAGATGTGGGTGTACTTGACCCAAAGACAGACCAAAGTACCAGGGTACCAAAGGGGGTGATCTGCTGAATGAGAACTCTCCTGTAGGGACGAGAATAAGGTGGAAAGACAGGATATAGCAAAGATTATGGAACAACTAACCATGAGTATGACTGTGGCCACAATACACCACATAATCCAAAGTCATCCAACAATCATAAAATGCTACATCTGGAAAGCAAACAGTATGAAGCACCATAAAAATTAGTCAAAGAATAAGAGTTCTGAAAAATTAAATTTGTAATAAAGCCAAGTACAGTTACTACAACTTTAAGTGAAGAGTCTAGAAGCATTACCTGAGTGAGGCTCCTAGGACAGGCCCCTAATTTGTGACGGTAAACGTTGGTGGTGGTGCAGTCTGTGATGCCACTCACAAAATATTTAAAAACAAAAAAGAAAAAAAAGTTAAACTGCAAAAGGTGTCTTCACAGTGTGATAAACTGTAGGATAAAACAAAGGGAAAAAACATTTAAAAATACTTTACTTTGATAAAAATATGAATTTAAACAAATTACAAAAAATATCCAGGCTTGGCTTTAATACAAAATGTGCAAAACAAACAAGATGAATAATCAAATTTAAGTTACGTTATGGTGCAAAAAAATATATGGTGCAGAATACCATGAGCTAGTCTGACTAAATCTGTTACCACACCGAGATATGTCAACAGGTCTACTCAGTGGAGCACACAGGAGTAATCTGAATCTTAGAGAGCTTGGTAGCCCCTATTTATACAGAATATCGGCCGAGCAGAGGGCGCTGATGTCTTCTTTAAACTATGAACCGGCTCCTTTAACTGCTTGTTACGGAGGGCATGGCCTCCCAGCGACCCAGGTGCGAGGTGGGGTGACAGGCCATGGTACAGGAGGGGGACTGGTAGACTGGTGGTATTGTCTAGACGTCTGGAAGTAGTTGTTGTTGTTGTTCTTGGGTGCAGTTCTTTATTACATAGACGTGAATGAGTAGAATAGGCGATAATGGAGTAGGCCGAATCTCTTCCTAGAGATTTTACCGTGACAATGTAATGAAACACTATTTGCTGGGTGAGACCCGGAGGCTCTCCGGCATCCCTCTCTCCGGTCGGCAGTTTTTCGCATATTTCTGACATCCAGCCTCTGAACTCAAGGTGTGGGTGGGTGGTGTGAGGTGTCTGGGGCAGCCCCTTCCCCCTCCCGGGAAGGGGGGAGATGCGCAGACAGGGGCACGGCACGGCACGTGGGGATGACATGCTCGTTTGCTCGTTTATCTTTGGGGAGTTCTGTCCATTCAGTTGACTTTCAGTAGTAGTTTCAACCAGAATAGGAGGTTTGTTTTGGAATGCTTACCTTTCTGGGTGCCTGACCCAGTTGAGGGTAGACATAGAATGTTCCAAATCACATGTGCAGTTCTATAGGCCATTGCTCCTCGTGCCTCTCAGAGGGGGGCCAGGTTCTGGCTCGTGATCCCCAGTAGGCTAAAGACACTGACTGATGCCAAAGTCTAATATATCCATATTAGCTTGGATAGCTCTGGGGAGCCTCAGGGGTCACACCCAGAAAATGGCATTTCATTACATTGAACACTGGTTTTTGGAGGTTTTCTTCCTCTTATCTTACCCCTGCAGAGGTTCCGGAGGCCCTTGGTGCCTACCTCCGGCATGACCCAGTTTGGATCCGGTTTTGTTTGAGCTCGGTTCCTCTTACACTGATCGGGTGCATTCCAGGGTTCCGGTATCTTCCTGGCTGGCAGCCTGCCTCGACGACTGGTAGGTGTGGGCTCCCTGCCAGTCTGCTTGTCTGGTAGTTGGAGTTCTGGTTCTTTCCTAGCTTGTCGGGTTTGGATTCCTGATTACTTTGCGCAAGTCTCAATTGGTTCCGTCCCAGGTTCGTACTTGTCTGGGCCTAGTGTGAGGTTCTCAGACTGCATCCATTTCTCTTCCTCTTGTGATTTTGCTCCGGTTTCAGTCTTGCCTTTAGCTGTTTTTTCAGAGGGACCCAGGTCAATCGGCGGTTGCTTAAGCAGCTGTGCGGATGTCTAAACTTTGCTCTACTGGTTTCCTGCTGGGCTTGGTTTGGCTTTGAAGACTGTTCTGTTATCTTCAGAGCAGCCTCTTTTTCCCACTCTCACGTTCACTGGGTTCATTTCCTGGTGTCCTTGCGCTGGGTGCTGCATTGATTACTTCATCTTCATGTTTTTTCGGGGTTCGGTGCCATGGCACCGTCCTCTATCCTTGGTCGATGTGTTCCAGGATGCCTCATCTCTCGGTTTGGGCTTTGTGACCAGTGCTCACCTGTCCAGCCAGGGGCGTTGGGGGCTCTCATTCTGTCGGGCTCACAGTACAGCGCGGCGGTGTGGCAGCAGATTCGGCTTCCTCAGGGCTTACTTGAACTTTGAGTAATTCAGCTATGTGTAAGCAATTATTGAGTGATTATTGTACAACTGATGACCAAACACAATATGTGCACACATATTTGCTACTAGCAACCAATATGCATCCCCCTGTAGAAAGCAGAAGATGTACTATTCTTTAGTGTCATTTTAATGGTGTGATCACTACAGCTGTCTCAGCTAAGTAGGATGTAACCCAGATTCATTCCAAGGTGTCTATCAAATGTGCACCGTGCAGCGGATACAAGTCACATCGTACACAAGATGATTAGCCAACGAATTTTGAAACCTGCCTAACTTAACCTAACCAAACCCAACCCAACCCAACCCAACCCAACCCCAACCCCAACCCTAACCCTACCCTAACTCTAACTCTAACCCCAACCCCAACCCTAACCCTAACCCCAAACCCAACCCCAACCCCAACCCAACCCCAATCCAGTCCAACCCATCCCATCCTATCCCATCCAATCCCATCCCATCCCATCCCATCCCATCCCAACCCAACCCAACCCAACCCAACCCAACCCAACCCAACCCAACCCTACCCAACCCTACCCAACCAAGCAAAATACAGTCTAACCTAGCTAATACATCCTAACATGGCAATATACACGGTTTTAACAAATAGAAAACAAGCATCTTTGAATCGACTTGTGTCATAAGCAACCATGCCCCCTGTGTATCTACTCTTCTTTTCAGGAAAATAATAAGTCCTATAATTCATAATTAAGCTCAAGATATTTGTCAGCAGTGGCAATGACCATCTTGCTCTTGTAGAGGTAACACACTTTGAGGTTTAAGCAGCTTGCCTTTCATAAATATGGAACAATTTACTAATGAACATTTTACATTTATATGATTCAGTATAAAGTATAACTATACATGAATAAATCCACAATGGCCGTAATGAGGGTTCAAACCTACGTCCGGGATAAGCCCAGACGTGCCTTAGTCGATTGCGCATGGCATGGTTATCTTGAGCTTATCTTGAGATGATTTCGGGGCTTTTTAGTGTCCCCGCGGCCCGGTCCTCGACCAGGCCTCCACCTCCAGGAAGCAGCCCGTTACAGCTGACTAACTCCCAGGTACCTGTTTTACTGCTAGGTAGCAGGGGCATAGGGTGAAAGAAACTCTGCCCATTGTTTCTCGCTGGCGCCTGGGATCGAACCCAGGACCACAGGATCACAAGTCCAGCGTGCTGTCCGATGGCCCTGGGGGTCAGGCCAGGGTCCCTCTAGAGCCGGTCGGGAGCTGGTAAAAGAATTGCAACCGGGAGTGCTACTGCCCTCACATGGATTCTGCAGCCTCTCGAACCCTCATCACAGCCCTTGTGGGTTTGTTCATTTGGTGTATCACGCTATTGTGATTTGAGTGTGTATTACTATACATAGTTTTTAAAATTGATGTAATATCTGTGTAACTGTATTTTAGTGTTATCTGATATTTTTTCAGTACTTGTTGCAGAGTACACTGTGTACAACAAAGCTGTACAATATTCCAATTTCAATCAAAATATATTATTGATTCTATATTCTTTATATATTTATGCATGTTGTAATTTCATCTTCAGAACATTGTTGGAACTTGGCCGAGAATGGCTACAACAGAGCAATCCCAATCTGAGTTCTGCTTTGGCAGCTCAACTGGAATGCACCTGGCTACACAGTGCTAAGGTGGCACGCAAGTCTGGACACACTCAGCAAGGAGAATGGGCACTTCTTGGTGCAGGTCAGTAGTTGATATCCTCATTATCGATCATTCCTGAGTGTCAACTCTGTAGTTTTCTTGATTTTAAGTACTGTACTGGTTTTCTTGATTATAAGTATTACAAGTCAGACTAGCTAATGCCAGGTGTCTGACAGATTGTATTTGCCTGCTGAGGACTAAGGCCTACAGACACACTTGCCTTTCCCCTCTCTATGCTTATGGGAGCCCATGAGAATGAGGTAAACTAGCTTAGAAATAGCTATGTGGGCCACTCCATGGACCAGCCTTTTGGATCAAGTTATCACATGTCATCAAGCCTGAACCCAGGCTGAGCTTAGGGTGTACAAAAACTTTCAGAAACCACTCCAGGTATTTTGGAACATGCCTCATGACCAAAACAAAGCAACTAAACAAATGGAGTCCACTATGAAAAAAAATAAAGTACACGAAACCCACTACTTACCTCATCCACCAATAGGTGGCAGCCCTGTCCACCTATAGTCCAGGTTGCAGGCCCACTTCACATTACTTGTATCCTGGTTTGTGAATACAGTGCCGGGGAGATTTTGGTAGTATAGTTGGGTTTGTTCTCGACAATCGGGAATCCTGGGTGGGACGGAAATGTTGGGCACATTTTCTTTCACCTAATACCTCAGTTCACCTGGCAGTAAATAGGTACCTGGAAGTTAGTCAACTGTTGTGGAGTTGCATTTTGGGGAGGGTCAGTAGTTTGACCTTGGGGAACCTCAGTATAAGCCTACTGTACATAAACAGGCTGCCTGTCCCCAACAAAATGAATTATTTAAGTTGCACTACACAGTGCCACTTTATAATATGACACTAATATATAACATACAGTTAAATCCACTCAATTTAATGGCCTATATGGGGCTGTACCCAGGTCGTTAAATGCGGGGCTTTGGTATTTCTGAAATTGGTAAGTGTCGGTAATATTTCAAGTAACATTCAGGTAAGATATGTCTTGAGGTTATCTTGAGATGATTTTGAGGCTTACCTACTCCTCAGGAAGCAGCCCGTAGCAGCTGTCTAACTCCCAGGTACCTATATACTGCTAGGTAACAGGGGCATCAGGGTAAAAGAAACAGTTTGCCTATTTGTCTCCGCCTCCACCGGGGATTGAACCCGGAACCTCAGGACTACGAATCCGAAGAGCTGTCCACCCAGCTGTCAGGCGCAACAGTGCCACAGTGCCATATATATTTTGTACAGACAGCCACTGGGTCCACCACTCTAGTGCCATCTACCCTGTGATGTCACAGATTCCCGGCACATTGTTTTGATTTGTCAGAAGGCTGGAGTGTTCATTACGTGACTTTGTTGTACATATCTGCGCAGGGATGGAAGGATGGAGGGAGGGAGGGATAGGAGGAGGAATGGATGGAGGGATGGATGGAGGGAGGGATGGAGGGAGGGATGGATGGATGGAGGGAGGGATGGATGGAGGGAGGGAGGGAGGGAGGGAAGGAGGAATGGATGGAGGGAGGGATGGAGGGAGGGATGAAGGGAGGGAGGGATGGATGGATGGAGGGAGGGCAGGAGGAATGGATGGAGGGAGGGAGTGATGGATGGAACGATGGATGGATGGAGAGATGGAGGGACAGACAGGTGGAGGGATGGAGGGAGGGAGGGATGGATGGAACGATGGATGGATGGAGAGATGGAGGGACAGACAGGTGGAGGGATGGAGGGAGGGAGGGATGGATGGAACGATGGATGGATGGAGAGATGGAGGGACAGACAGGTGGAGGGAGGGAGGGATGGATGGATGAGGTATGGATGGATGGATGAATGGAGGGATGGATGAATGGATGGATGGATGAATGGAGGGATGGATGGATGGGTGGAGGGATGGATGGATGGGTGGAGGGATGGATGGATGGGTGGAGGGATGGATGGATGGGTGGAGGGATGGATGGGTGGAGGGAGGGAGGGAGGGATGGAGGGAGAGATGGAGGGATGGATAGGTGGATGGATGGATGGGTGGAGGGATGGATGGAGGGAGGGAGGGAGGGAGAGATGGAGGGATGGATGGATGGATGGATGGAGTTTTTTTATTATTATTATTATTATTTCCTACAACAGTCGTGGCCACACATTTACAATGCTAACCAGCATATATACATTTTCTTCTGTCCTCCATGAACAGGGTTAGAGATTTGTTAAACATATAGTTCAGGGATTTATTGAACAATCAACCACAGAAGGTGATTCGGTGCTTTTAAAATGCTAATCTAACCTATATATGTAAATACATAGATATACAGATTTATGTATGCCTTACATAAAGTGTTCGATGTGTCTTTTACATTGTGTCATTAATGTGCATTTACAAAGGTAAAATGTAATTCTGATCAGCTTTCACATATACTTTATACACATATATATACATACACACACACACACACACATATACGTACATATACATATATACACACACATGCATACACATACACGGAGTAAGTCCCTGGTAATTTTTGGTTGCAAAGAAAAGGAGATAACATCTAGGTCAGAAAGAGCTGTAAAAGAAGCGAAAGTAGTAGATAAAATTGTTGGCCTCGTGGAAGGTCATACAACCATAGAGAATGTGTGCGACTACAGGAGAATAGGCAGATATATAAAAGGGAAAGATCGACCTTTGAGGATCACCCTAAATGGTGCCAAACAGATGGAAGAAGTACTAAGGAATGCTAGAAAATTACAAAGTGATGAGGATGGGAAAGTGTGGTCGTTAAGACGAGATCTTTCAAAAGAAGACAGAGAGAAGCTGAAACTGAACCTTGCCGAGGCAAAATGTTTAAATAAGAGCAGGAATGAAGAAGAAATCAATTCTTTTTTCTACAAAGTGTTAGGGGTAGGCAGACCAGTAAAGTGGTAGTAGATGGAGTGAGGGCTTCCGGGTCTCGCCCAGAAAATGGCGTTTCATTACATTCAACGCTGGTTTTTTACCATGTGGGGTTTGTTTTGTTATGCCTACCTTTCTTTTGCCTAACCCCGGTCGATGGCAGATAAGGAAAACCCCAACCACAAGGGGGTTTTCCAGTGCCATTGCTCAATGAAACCTATCTAAAGGGGCCAGGTTCTGGTGCTGGTCCCTGGTAGGTCTGAACTTCTTAGCTAATGTCCCGGTCTAATATAACATACATTAGCCCGATAAGCTCCAGGGAACCTCCGGGGCTCACCCAGAAAATGGTGTTTCATTACATTCAACGCTGGTTTTCTGTGGGGAGCCCCTACGGCTCCCTGGAGCTTATCGGGCTAATGTATGTTATGTTAGATCGGGACAATAGCTATGGAGTTCAGACCTACCAGGGACCAGCGCCAGAACCTGGCCCCTTCAGAGAGGTTTCAGGGAGCAATGGCCCTGGAAAACCCCATATGATTGGGGGTTTTCCTTATCTGCCATCGACCGGGGTTAGGCACCCAGAAAGGTAGGCGTAACAAAACAAACCCCACATGGTAAGAAACTACAACAAAAACAATCAAACAATCAATTTACTGCCGCGCCGGTCGTCCGCGCAGCACTCCCCTCCCCGGGAGGGGGAGGGGGGGCCCGGACCTCACCACGCCAGCTGCCGTCAGTTCGGAAACTAGGCTTCAACCAACGCGAAAAATCCCGCCGACCGGATGGGAGGGAGGGTATCCAGGGAGCCTCCGGGGCTCACCGAGAATATGGCGTTTCATTACATTCAACGCTGGTTTTCTGTGGGGAGCCCCTATGGCTCCCTGGAGCTACATACCCAAAGAGAAGGAAAAAAGGGGACTTACCCGGGAGGCGGCGGCCACAAACTCCTCAACGCGAAGTCGAGACAACTGGCTGCAACCTGCGACCCAAAGCAACACAAGAACGATGAAGAGCAGGGACGTTCACCAAATAACGGGCGGCCAGGACCCTGTTCGACTTCCAAAATCCACGCGCCCGAATATGTGCCCAAGACATATTACCAAACACGGCAGCCAAAGCCGCAAACTTCCTAACGTCATGGGAGCGAGGGTAGACCGCAGGCTGGCTAGACTTAACCCTTAAATGGCACATAGCTATATACCATTTGACACCCACAGGCGCATACCAAAAAAAAAAAAAAAAAAATTATTTTTTCTTCCTAACCTGTTAATTTGTGTTCACTGATCATGGGAAAAATAATAAAAAAATCGTAAGTGGCATATATTGCCCACTATAGGGCGGGGAAGTCTGGCAAAAATCAGGCGCTGACTGAGCGTGCGTCCCAGGCGGTCTGTTGATCGCTAGCTGTCAGGCCAGAGTTTCCACAAAGAGATAATTACCTAATTATTTCAATGTCTCTGATTGATTTTTCATAGTTTTTTTGCTGTAATATTATTCAATAGTGTGTAGTTTGATATATTTATATAATAAAATGAGTGAATCATTGCTGTACTCAAAAATATGGTGTGCCTATTGTTGATTCAATTATGTTCATCAAACAGTGAACAAATACTTTGTCAGTTATTACACTATATACACAGGTTATATATAAGTATCTGCATGTTTTGTTCACCATGACTAACCACTAAGTTGGTATGCTGAGTGGCAGTGGCAGGCAGTGACTGGCTGCCACTGGCTGCCACTGTCTCCCTCACCTCACCTCACCTCACCTCACCTGACTTGCCACAATTCTCCACCCACCATACTGTTTTTGCTTTTATATACAGACGTTATATATAAGTATTTACATGTTTTATTCACCATAACTGTACATCTAAGCTTGTATGGTGAGTAAAGGCACAAAGACGTAGGACCTCACACAATCAGCTGGTGGCGGCCGCCCTCAAGGCCAGACGCACTAATATTTCTCCTACAACAATACTGTTTGTGGTGTTATTACGCTATATACACACATTATATATAAATATCTACCTGTTTTATTCACCATACTTGTACAAGTAAACTGGTATGGTGCCCAAAGACCATTGTGGTCATCAGTAAACAACTTGGTAAGTCCTGCAGACGACGCTCCTCCCTCATCAAAATGGCGGCTCCCAACCTCCTACTCTCGCTGTTATCTCACACTATACACACGTTATATATAAGTATCTACATTTGTGTTCACCATAGCGAACCACTAAACTGGTATGGTGAGTGCAGTCAATAAAAGGTGGCCACACACACTCAAAAGACAACGCCACCATCCTCCCTCCCACAGCATTACTCCTCCCTCCATGGCGCACAGCGCCAAATATCACCACAATCCTGCTATTATCAGAACCCTGGTCAGTTTTATCACAGTCAAGGGTCTTCTGTAATAATGTCATCGCTACATAATAGCATGAACAAGTATATTATGGCATTTTTAGGCGATGCTGTGGTCACAAGCTGAACAACAGTGCTGTGAGTTCATGCTACGTGCGTCAGGCTTGGTAGCTGACTCAATACTGAGGCCCCTAACACCCGGGAGTTTGGCCCACGATTTTTTTTTTAAATGGCGTTTGTTTACAAGAGCCCTGATGAAGGTGTGGTGAACCCCGTGTATCCGCGGGCCATTTAAATCTTGCGTAGTACTCCAAAGCATCACATGATGCGATGCGCAATTTACTGCAAGTCGGTCAAAGCATCATATGATGCGATGCGCAATTGAAGGGTTAATAACCCTGCGGACAACCTGGGAGACCCGAGCCCTGGAACAGGGAATGAGGGAAACCGGATCAACCCAAAGCGCATCCCCAGCCACCCCGGCTGAAGCGCACAGGTAACGGCGAAGTGCTGCAACAGGACACAACACATAATGCACCCCCGGCCGAACCAACCAAGCATCAATGACCCACGGACCCCTCCGGAAAGAAGCCGTCTGGTTCTTCGCCAGAAAAGATAGAGAAGGCTGCAAACGGACAAACCTACCCCCAGGACCAAAAGAGCAGAAACCCCTGCGCCGGAGGAGAGCATGAAGCTCCCCTACCCGGCCCCCAGAGGCCAATGAAAACAAAAACAAAGCCTTGGAAAAACAATCAGGAACCGAAGGGGCCACCACAAACCGAGGAGAGGAAAGATAGGAGAGCACCCTGTCCAAGGACCAGGATGGCTCAGGAGGCGCATGAGCAGGCCGGAGGTGAAACATAGCACGGGAAAGCTTACGAAACGGGGCGGATGTGACGTCCACCCCGAAAGCTAGCTTGAGCGGCTCCGTCAATGCCGCAAAATACGAGGCGACAGTATTAGGCATCAAATGACGGTCCAGAAAAAGCCAAGTAAGAAAAGACAAAACAACCCGATCCGAAAGAAAAGACAACCTACGAAGAGCCAGAAAATGGCGAAAAGAATGCCAGGAAACTTCATACTGTCGCCTAGACGAAGCTCTCAGGTGGGACACCATCAAAGAAGCCACCTGATCACCATAGAAATGGTGATACACCCGCGTCAAAAAGACCAGACGCGAAGAGCAGAGGAGAAGGTCGAACCATCCCCGTACCGTATCGGGCCGACTTGCTGAAAGAGGCGGAGCCGCGGGAAACGTCCCGGGTTCGGGCACCGAGCCAAAAGCACCGGAAACCAAGGCTGGGCCGGCCACCAAGGGGCCACGAGGACTACTCTCCCCGGGAACGTCTCTAACCGAACCAGAACCCGAAGCAACAGCTGGACCGGAGGAAAGAGGTACAGGTAACCCCACCTCGACCAGTCCTGCCGAAAGGCATCCACCGCAAACGCCTCGCAGTCGGGGAAGGGCGTCACATATATAGGGAGACGCTGGGACCACGCCGACGCGAAGAGGTCCACATCTGGGAGACCGTACGCCTGGCAGATCCAACGAAACGAGTCGTCGTCGACCGTCCATTCCGTGGACAGGGGAAGGAAGCGAGACAGACCGTCCGCCAGAACGTTGGACACTCCCCGGACGTGAACCGCACGGAGAGTCAAACCCCGAGTATCCAGCAGACGAACCACTCGAAGGAACCAACCCCAAAGAGCCAAGGACCGAAGAGAACCCCCGCGGTATGTAGCTCCAGGGAGCCGTAGGGGCTCCCCACAGAAAACCAGCGTTGAATGTAATGAAATGCCATTTTCTGGGTGAGCCCCGGAGGCTCCCTGGATACCCTCCCTCCCATCCGGTCGGCGGGATTTTTCACGTTGGTTGAAGCCTAGTTTCCGAACTGACGGCAGCCGGCGTGGTGAGGTCCGGAGGCCCCCCCCTCCCCCTCCCGGGGAGGGTAGGGCTGTGCGGACGACCGGCGCAGCAGTAAATTGATTGTTTGATTGTTTTCCTTGGGATTGTAGGGAGTTTTCTACCTCTCTGTTCGGTTTTTGTTGTAGTTTCTTACCATGTGGGGTTTGTTTTGTTACGCCTACCTTTCTGGGTACCTAACCCCGGTCGATGGCAGATAAGGAAAACCCCCAACCATATGGGGTTTTCCAGGGCCATTGCTCCCTGAAACCTCTCTGAAGGGGCCAGGTTCTGGCGCTGGTCCCTAGTAGGTCTGAACTCCATAGCTAATGTCCCGGTCTAACATAACATACATTAGCCCGATAAGCTCCAGGGAGCCGTAGGGGCTCACCCAGAAAATGGCGTTTCATTATATTCAACGCTGGTTTTTTGTGTTAATATAAAAATTATTTTGCAGGTGGTATTCCAAAATATGTGAAATAGTTATGTTCTGTATATTATTTTCACAGGATTTGGTCGTGATGTATTTGTTGAGCGAGCAAAGTGGCACTGGGTGAAGGGAGAGCATCACCAAGCAGTGACCACCCTTAATCGTGGTATTGATAAATTGTTTTCTTCTTGCGAAAACTACAAAGTAGCTGTTGGAAATGAAAATCAGGTAAATGGTTTATAATTATATATCTTATTCAAGCATTGCTTCACATGCTCACATGTGCATAATCACTCCCTATTTGACCAAACTATAACTTGTCAATTATGTTCTCTTGTAATCACCAGATAAGATAATTATTATTGCTAGGCTATAGTGTATTTAATAACTTTTAAAGGCTTTCCATTAGAGGCTACTTCAAATTACAGTGGTACCTCTCATAACGAATTTAATCCGTTCCATGTTCGTCATGTGAAACGGACGTCATACAAAACGAATGCCCCCCATGTAACCAGTGTGATGCACTGTGTTTATTGTGAAATTCCCCCAGTGTGCATGACATCAAATGTTCCCCAAAATATAATTTTTCTTTGCAAAATGACAAATTACCATCCCTGAACATGTCTATGTAAAAATAATTACCAAATTCCACTTACTTTGGCTGTGAGGGCGTGGACAAAGTGCGCTGTGACGTCATCAGGGTCTGGTCGCCCGTGTGTGAAGCTCCCAGACACGGTCGCGCAGGCCATTCAAGCACCGCGTGTTGCCACAAATATATTTTCAAAAAAATTTTCTATGCATTTCCAATGCGGTTTTATTTGTTTCTTTTATCGTATATGATGCATATTTCTGGGGGGAGCCCCATCGGCTCCCCGGAGCTTTACCGGCTGATATGCTAATGTCAGACTTTGGCATCAGTCATGTGTATGGAGTTCTAGGGCCTACCGGGGACCACGAGCGAGAACCTGGCCCCCTCAGAGAGGCAAGGGGAGCAATGGCCTATAGAAACCCTCGTGTGGTTGGAAGCATTCTATGTCTGCCATCGACCGGGTCAAGCAGCCAGAAAGGTAAGCATTCCAAAACAAACCCCTATTCTGGTGAAAATTGCTACCTAAGCCGAACTAGTGGATAGAACTCTTCAACAGAAAACAAGGAAACTAGTATGACGTCATACGTCACCGCACCGCTGTCTGCGCAGCTCCCCCCTCCCCGGGAGGGGGAAGGGGGAGCCCCAGACATCCCACGCCGGCTATCCACCCATCAGTTCTTCGGCTGATGCTATAGGCAATGGTTATGTGCTCCGGCTCCAGTGGTTGTTTCAGCACTGTACCTAGAGTGTGGTGTCTGTTTTCTAGGTGGTGCGTGAGCCGGGAGTGATTCTTCAGTACTCGGGCTGCATGCGCCTAGGGTTCCCTTCCCTAGGTGCCCTGTAAGTACTGCCCTTGGGGCTTGGGGCCACCTTCCACAAGTTCCTTGGGTCCTGCCCCTGCTTGGCCGTTTACTGCTTGGTTTTCGGCCGCTCTTTGTGTGCTCGGGTGTTCTGTCTCCCTTGTTCGCCTTAGAGTAAGGGGCAGTGTTTACACTGGTGGGGCGCAGGGTACTGTGCAGCTTGTCTTTACCAATCATAGCAGCCGGCTCTGTTCCACTTGGGTGCGCTGTCCTCTTGCGGGGTTTTCTTTTTCTTTTTGTTTTTCTGGGGGGAGCCCCGTCGGCTCCCCGGAGCTTTACCGGCTGATATGCTAATGTCAGACTTTGGCATCAGTCATGTGTATGGAGTTCTAGGGCCTACCGGGGACCACGAGCCAGAACCTGGCCCCCTCAGAGAGGCAAGGGGAGCAATGGCCTATAGAAACCCCCGTGTGGTTGGAAGCATTCTATGTCTGCCATCGACCGGGTCAAGCATCCAGAAAGGTAAGCATTCCAAAACAAACCCCTATTCTGGTGAAAATTGCTACCTAAGCCGAACTAGTGAATAGAACTCTTCAACAGAAAACACGGAAACTAGTATGACGTCATACGTCACCGCGCCGCTGTCTGCGCAGCTCCCCCCTCCCCGGGAGGGGGAAGGGGGAGCCCCAGACCTCCCACGCCGGCTATCCACCCATCAGTTCTTCGGCTGATGCTATAGGCAATGGTTATGTGCTCCGGCTCCAGTGGTTGTTTCAGCACTGTACCTAGAGTGTGGTGTCTGTTTTCTAGGTGGTGCGTGAGCCGGGTGTGATTCTTCAGTACTCGGGCTGCATGCGCCTAGGGTTCCCTTCCCTAGGTGCCCTGTAAGTACTGCCCTTGGGGCTTGGGGCCACCTTCCACAAGTTCCTTGGGTCCTGCCCCTGCTTGGCCGTTTACCGCTTGGTTTTCGGCCGCTCTTTGTGTGCTCGGGTGTTCTGTCTCCCTTGTTCGCCTTAGAGTAAGGGGCAGTGTTTGCACTGGTGGGGCGCGGGGTACTGTGCAGCTTGTCTTTACCAATCATAGCGGCCGGCTCTGTTCCGCTTGGGTACGCTGTCCTCTTGCGGGGTTTTCTTTTTCTTTTGTTTATATACCTGGTGGGGGGGGTCTGCCTTCGTTCTTGCCCCTTGTGTCCCTTGTGTTCTGAGTATTTCTGGTGGTACCCCCTGCTAGGTCCCCGTGAGTGTACACGTCCCGGGGGTTCAGCTCTTAGAAAGTTGTTTGGTAGCTTGGGTGCCGGTTAGCAGTACCCTGCCTGGGATTACCTGAGCGCGAGTCCTCTTAAAGTAAACGCTCGGGACCCTGGGAAACCCCTGGGGGCGCGCGGGTCCGATGGATGTGACCCCAGAGCCCCCCCCTCGCTTCCAGCGAGTTTGAGGGTTGCTCTCACCTTTTGTCTCTGGGTGACTCTCTGTTTTGCCTCCGTCTGCTGCCTGTGGGGTCGGTGACACCTTCGACCCGGTGTCTTGCGAGTTTGGTTGCTCGTTGTGGCTCGGTTACCCAGTTGTGCTAACAAAGCGGGTGCGGGCAGCAGGGGCGTTGCACTTGAGCCTTGGTGGTGGCAACGTTCTCGTGGTTTCCTCCCCGGGAGCCCCGGGGCTGCCCCGTTGTATTTCGTTTTTCCCCTGGTTCACCCTTCCTGCCTGCATCCGGTTCCTTACCGTCTGTAGGTTCAGGGCGGGGTGTTTGGTGGTGTTGAGACTCGGGCAGTCTCGGGGAATTCCCCTTCCGGGGTAGTGACGGGGGCATTTGGGCCTGTTCCTCCAGCCGTGTTGTATGAGTCTGCCAGTGGGCTCCCTTCCTTAGTGTTTTCACGGCTGCCCCGGTTTTCTGGTACGGCCGGGGCTTTGGGGGAACGGCTCGGCCCCGGGGCCTGTCGTGTAGGTTCCCGGGGCTGGGGAGGGGCTGACTTGGGGGGCCTTGGCCCCGTTAGACCCCGTGGGGGGTTTTATCCCCCTCTAGGCGGGGCTTGTGGTTACGCGGAGTGGGGTTTTTCCTCCCCACTCGCCGTACGTGCTGTTGGACGTCGGCCCCTCCCCGGGCTCGGTTCCTTGGCCTTTGAGTCGGTTGGTTCCGTCCTGTGGGTGGATGTTTCCTCCCCCGCCTTTTGGGACGGTGTTTTTGTCATGTTTCCCCGTTCGATGGGGTTCTGCGTGACTTTTGATCTCGGGTGCGCCTGCGCCTTCGTGTGCCTTCGGGACTAGTGTTGGCTTCTGTGTTCTCGAGGGTACGGGAAGGTTTTTCGCTACTTCCCGCATTATTGGAACGTCTGTCGGCTCCTAGTACTTGTCGCCCTGTTGGGCTACTTGTCGCCCTGTTGGGCTACTTGTCGCCCTGTTGGGCTACTTGTCGCCCTGTTGGGCTACTTGTCGCCCGGTTGGGCTACTTGTCGCCCGGTTGGGCTACTTGTCGCCCGGTTGGGCTACTTGTCGGCCGTTTGGGCTACTTGTCGCCCGTTTGGGCTACTTGTCGCCCGTTTGGGTTCCCTTTTTTTGGGCTCTTTGCTTCTTTGGCCGGTTTTCTTGTTCCTGCTTCCTCTTTTGGCTCTTTTTCTCGTGCAATAGTCCTGGCTGGCGCCTTCCCGCAGGGAGGGTGTGCGGTTCGGCCAGCGTGTTATGCGCATGCGCCGTGGAGTTTGTTTTGGTCTGGGCGATGGTTCAGTGCTGGGGTTTTGCGCCCTTTTTTGCTACAGTGCTTCGCCTCTCGTTCTTCTCCCTGGCTGCGGTATGTGCCCCTTTGCGCCAGGGGTGTCCTGGTTCCCAGTTGTGGGGAGGACACCGCGGTTTTCTGTGTCATGGGTGTGGACCGCCTCCTTCGCCTCTCCCTGTTCTCCTGCGGGTCCGGCTCTGGCGTCTTCACCTGGCGGTGCTCCCAAGTTCTTCTGGGCACGGTTGAGTCGTGTCAAGTTCGAGCCACCATTCGCCAGGTGAGTTTCTGCGGTCTGGCGTCTTTTGGCCGGGCGCTGGATGCGGCGGTGTTCATATACCTGTCTTTATTTAGGTATAATTTTGTACGACTGAGACCGTTCGCACACCAGTGACTGTCCCTTTATCACCCCTTCCTGTCCCCCTCCTGTGCATGTCCAACCCATGCTACAGTCGTTCAGGGGACCCTCCTTTTTTAATGTTGTGAGGTGTGGGGGTTGTAGGGTTGGTTCTGTACTCACCTGGTGAGGCTCCTGGCTGTGCTTGCAGGATTTGAGCTCTGGCTCTTGGGTCCCGCCTATCTGGTAGAACTTGCGGGATAGTACCAGCGGAGTGCAGTGGTGCTATTGGCACTTTTGGGGAACACTGTATTACCATCAGTGGTCTGTGCTTGTTACACGACCTACTTGCGAGCATAAGCCTTCTTGCTGGTTCGTCCGTGGACTTCCAGGGCGCACTGGCCTGTTTTCGTATGGCAGTTCCGGCCCGTCCTGGTTGTGGGGGTATGTGGGCCGGTGGACTGCTCCTAGCAGCTGCCTGGTGGGCCATCCTCTGGCCGGTCTGGCCTGACCTTGGGCCGGGCTTGAGGTGTAAAAGAGCTCCCAGTACCTCATCCAGCAGGTATCGAGCGGGGTTTCTCCGCCGTCGGTCGCCTGGTGCAGGTTTCTGGGCCTGCAGGGTTTTATCGTGTCTCCGTTGGCCCTGTCTGGGGTCTGCCTGCTCCGTTCTCTGCCTTTGCAGAGGGGAGTTGCTATTTACATGTTGCATGTTGCAGTGGTGCCTGTTGCTGCTGCTGCTGCACGTGAGCATTGGTACCGTGTTTCACGGTGGCGTGTCCTTGTTCCTGTGTCCGGTTGT